TATATATATATATATATATATATATAGTAACGGAGAGGTTCGAATATATATCAACGGGGGGGGGGTAGATGTATAGCCCGAGGCTTGCTGCTGCATATTATATTATATAGCTAAGCCTAGCAGTGCTGCGGTATACGGCGCATGGCAGCGCGTCAGAGTAGCAGCAGTAAAAGCAGGTGGAGGCGATGAGGATGTTAGACGTAGTTGGGTGGTTTTCAGGGGCACTTCCGTGAGTGTTAGAAATACAGTGAACAGAGTGTACAATGAAGAATACTGTTGCATTGCGTTTTCTTTCTGTAACCTCTTCCCACTTCCTCTTTTTTTTTCGCGCCTCCTCTCTCTGACTCTGACTATCTCTCTTTGCTCATTGTCTCTCCCTCTGGCCCTCTCTCTCTTGGCCACCGAGTGTCTCTCCCTCTGGACCCTCTTCCTGCCGCCTGTCTCTTCTCTCTCTTTCTCATGGCCCTCCCTTTCTGGGCTCCCGCTGCTCTCCCGTCTTGGCCCTTCTGGTTTCTGCCGTCATGTTTCTCGCCTCTGACCGGCTATGCTCATTTCGGCCCCCCTCTCTATCCCGATCCTGGCCCTCTCTTGTCTGCGCGCCATTGTCCGTGCTCCCTCTGGCCCCTCTCTCTCTCTCTGCCCTCTGTCTCTCCCTCTGGCCCTCTCTTTCTGCCCCACGTCTCTCCTTCTGCCCTCTCTTGTCTGCCACCCTGTCTCGTCCCGGTCTGGGCGCTCTCGTTTCTGTGCCCCACAAAATATAACTTCAGCCTCTGGCCCTCGCATCTCTACTTCCTGTTTCTTCCTCTGGCGCCCTGCTCGTTTCTGCCCCACGTCTCTCCTTCTGGCGCTCTCTTTCTGCTCTCTGTCTCTTCCTCTGGCGCTCTCGTTCCTGCCCACGGATCTGTCTTAGATCTCTGGCCTGGGCGCTCTCTACTCCGCTGTTTCTCGCTTCTGCGCTCTCTTTCTGGTCCCATGTCGTCTCGCGCCTCTGGCCCTCTCGTTCTGCCCCATGTCTCGTCCCTCATGGCCCTCTCTTCCGCCCTGTCCTCCCTGGCCCTGCTCTTTCTTCTCATGTCTCCTGTCTTCCTGGCCTCTCTGCTCTATCATGACCAGTGATTCACGCACAGCTCGCACGCCAGCGCAGATACGATACTACCCTGACAAGCTCCTCCTCTTCTTCGCCCCATTCTCAGGTGAGAACTTCGGCTGCGGGGCCTGATACAGACACGGCAGCCATGGCAAGTGGTACGAGGCGATGCGCTGGCACTGTCCCATCTCAACCAGGACAGGGGCAACAAGCGCACGTGCGTCATCGTCAACACACATCGTTCGTGCCTTGGAGTAAGAGTATCGTAGGCATCGCTTTTCTATCGTCATAGGCCGCGTGACGGCGCCACCATACGCGTAGTTTGTACCGGCTCCGAGCGCGAAAATCATGCATCATCATCATCACAATCATCATCCTCATCATCAATCATCCATCTTCATTCATCCATCATCATGCGTTCATCATCATCATCCTCCATCATCATTATTGTTGATCAAGACACAGTCGATACTACTAAAGGTAGAATTAGGCTCGTTGTTGTTATGTTTATTGGCACCTTCTTATGACGGGTCCATTTATGCGCCATGTATACGCCATTTACGAAGTCCTCCTCAGTCCGAAGGGTTGAAATGTTCAGCGACCGAGAATAATTGTGTTTAAATAATGTTCATAAGTTAAGCGTTAAAATGATGTATTAGCTATGTACTATACATTATATCTAATAATTGTGAATTCCTCTGCACATTTAGCAATGTCACGTACGACACGGCTACGAAGCGGAACTGGCGACGAGCGCTTGTAGAGTAGGGTTCCACAGATGCAGGCACGGGAGAGCGACTGTAGGCCAATGTCTTCAAAACTGATACAGGTAAGCCATGTGTGTGTGCGATTGTGGGCGTGGTGCGTGCGTGCAGTGTGTGCGTGTGTGTGGCGTACGTGTGTGTGTGTTGTCGGGTGTGTGGTGTGCGTATGCGTGTGGCGTGTGTCGTGTGGTTGAGTGTGTGTGCTGTGTGTGTTGTGTGTGTGTGTGTTGTGTGTGTGTGTGTGGTAGTTGGTGTGTGTGTCGTGTGTGGGTGAGTGCTGTGTGTGTGTGTGTGTGTATGCGTGTGTTATGCGATGGTGTGTGCGTGGCGTACGTGCGTGCGTGCGTGGCGTGCGTGCGCGTGTGTCGTGGTGGGCGAGCTTTCTATCGTCTTTTTCGTTGCAATATATGATCGAGCGTTCGATCCCCATCTACATTACTGCATCAGTAATACACGTGCTACAGGCACGAATCGGTACGTCACGAAGCGACACCGAGCGGCCGCCCTGGCGAACCTTGTTTACGGACTTGTCGGCGTCCTACAGATGGCGTTCGGAGCGCCAGCAGCAGAGGCTTTGACGTACACAAGCAACTGTTCGTGTTCTGCGCCTGCGAAGCGACGGTTTTCTAACATCGCCAGCAAACCGCAGGTACAACACGCAGTAACGATTTCCTAAATATAAAAGGAGAATTAAAAGATAAATACGGGACCAAGAAGAAACAAAAAGAGAAAAGATAAAAACATCAATAGATAACATAACTAAAAAAAAAAACAAAGAACATGATCAATGCAAAAAAATAAAATATAAAACAAGAGTAATATAAGAAATAAATCGAATACACAAAAAAGATAAACTAAACAACGAAGAAATAGAGAAAAATTATCAAAGAAAAAAAGACAGAGGTAAACGAATCAGAAAAAATATGTTAAAATATAAAAAAAAATTCAAATAAGCAGTACAAAGTAAAGAAAGAAAAGCGCAGGAAAAATACAACCCAGACAAAGACAGAAAAGGAAAACAACAGCACACAACACAGCAGCCAACAGTAAAAAAAGACACCGCAACAACAACCCCACAACATAAATTACACTAACTACACAAAAACAACAACAATTACACCACAAAACAACACATACAAAAGACACTAAATAAAAAAAACCCAAGAAAAAAGCGAAAATCACGAAATAACAGAAGAGGAAAAAAATCAGAAACCAAGAAAAAGCAATTAAGAAAGAGAGACATAGATAAAATAAAAAAGAAAACTAAAAATACAAAGTATAAGTAAATAAAAGAATATATACATAAAGTGAAGCAAGAAACAAATAGAAAAACGAAAAAAAAAGAAAAAAAACATAGAGAAATACAAATGATAGAAACAGACAAGATAAAAACAATAAGTAAAACTAACAATAAAACTAAAACAATATCCTATAAAACAACAAGAACAAACCACTGGCAGGATCCGGCGCGGGCGCAGGGGCACTGCAGCCAGACGGACCGACGGCCCACCCTCGTGCCGCACGATAAACCCAATAAGATAAGTAACGAATAAACAGTAATATAACAGCTAAAAAAATCACTAACTAACCTAATCAAACAAAAAAGAAAGAAAAAATGTTAACATAAAGAAAAGAATTACGACAAACTATAAGATAACTAACAACAAACAAAAGAAACACAAACTATAAAAAAACAAAGATACCGAAGACAGGACAAATAAAAGAATAGAGCAAATTAGAAAAAAAATGCATATAATGACACTACCAAGCGTACTCTCTCAGCATATCTCTTGTTCTCATCTCTCTCTTGCTCTCCTCTCTCTCTCTCTCTTCTTCTCTCTTCTCTCTTTCTCTCTCTCTCATCTCATCTCTCCTCTATATATATATATGATATATCACCCTTTACTTCACTAACTTCTGTTCTCTCTCGACTACTGTCTACTCGTCTCAACGCACACTATTATTGCTGCGTTGCTCTTTCTATTTCTCTCTCGCTCTCTCTCTCTTTTTGCCGCTCTAGCTCCTTATTACCCAGCAAAGGTAGCTTGAGTTCGCGTAACTCAGTCTGTTTGCCATGCTAGAGTGTTGGGTTAGCTAGCTTCAATTACCGCCTACAATGTGCCGTCCACGTCTTTGGTTTCTCGTGCCTCTTCTTCTACTAATTACTTTATTAACATCCGTGTATACGTAGGTATTTCACGTGGGTTTTCACGTTGGTTTTAATGTAGGTATTTCACGTAGGTATTTCATGTAGTTATTGACGTAGGTGTTCACGTAAGTATTTACGTAAATATTGACGTAGGTATTGACGTAGGTATTGACGTAGGTATTGACGAAGAAAGAAAGTGAGAGAGCGAGAGAGCGAGAGAGAGAGAGGGAGGGAGAGAGAGAGAGAGAAGAGAGAGAGCGAGAGAGAGAGAGAGACAGAGAGAGAGAAGAGAAAGAGAGAGAGAGGAGAGAGAGAGAGAGAGAGAGAGAGAGAGAGGGAGAGAGAGAGAGAGAGAGAGAGGAGAGAGAGAGAGAGAAAGAGAGAGAGAGAGAGAGAGGAAAGAGAGAGAGAGAGGAGAGAGAGAGAGGAGAGAGAGAGAGAAGAGAGAGTAAAACAAAGAGGGAAGGGAAGAGCGCGCACTCGCAGACAGAGAGAAAGAGAGAGGGAGGGTGATCGAGAGAATGAGTAGCAAGAGAATAGAGATAGAGAGAAAGAGACGTGAGGGAGAGTGTGAATAGAGAGGGAAAGAAAGAGAGGAAAGCGCGGGGCGCGAAGAGAGGCGATTATATCTACATCCGTATATATATCTTTATATAATATATATATATATTTATATATATATATATAAATATAGTAGAGAGAGAGAGAGAGAGAGAGAGAGAGAGAAAGAGAGAGAGAGAGAGAGGAGGGAGGGGAGGGAGAGAGGAAGAGGGAGAGGGAGAAAAAGTAAATATGTATGTAGAGATATAAAGTACCTGCCTTCTCTGTTACAGGCCATCGCCGCCACCGTGCGCCGGCTCGGCTGGCGTTACGTCTCCATCATCTCTACAGCCGACGACTACGGCCGACAGGGTAGCGCCTCGCTGACGCAACTCCTCGACGCTGCCGACGTCTGCGTCGGCGTCACGGCCGAGGTACCGTCGGTATTTGCGTCGACCAGCCTAAACTCATACGAGAACGCAGTTGCGCGCGTCGCCACGAAGGCGCCGCTAGGAGGCGGCGTCGTCGCGTTCGTGTCGAATTCGGCCGTCGCGCGAGAGCTGCTGTCGGCTGCCGACAGGATTCCCGGTGGTGCCGACGTCGCGTGGGTGTTCAGCGACGGTCTGGGAACCGCAGCCGACGTTATCTCCGACCTTCGTGCATCTCGCGGCGTTGTCGCCGTCGGCGCTACGCCGCAACCGACGATCGACTCGTTCGGCATCCACTGGGCGACGCTAGACGAGACCGGCAAGGAGGAGGCGTTGCTAGGCAACCCGTGGTTCAAGGAGTACTTCCAGGAGGCGCACGGCTGCAGCCTCCCCGGCGAGCGTGCCTACGCGGCGCTGCCCGCCTGCCCCGAGCGCACGTTCGCCGAGCGGCAGCGACACTTCACGCAGAGCGACGACGTCGTGCGAGTCATCGACGCCGTCTACGCCTACGCCGAGGCTCTACGCGCCGCACACAGCGCCATCTGCGGGCCGACTTACAGGGGCGTGTGCGACGCCCTCTCGCGGATAACACGCGAGGTCTTCTTCAGAGATTACCTGGCCGCGGTCAGCTTCACCTACGGCGAGCGCAACCGAGCTGCGCCGGAGTTATACAACCGCCTGGTGGCGTTTGACGAGCGCGGTAACCCGAGTGGTTCCAAGCTGGGCGTCTATAGTTATCAACGCACGAACAACGAGTGGCGATTCGTGCAGGTAATACAGTAGTAATAACGGAGAGGGTACGGAGAGGTTTAGAGCTTGAATTTTTTAGACTAGTTAATTAGTACCAGTCTTAGTTATCACGAAAATTATTTATTTTGATATTTTTACTTTTTGAGAGTTCTATAATTCGACAAGGCGTGTGCTCTCTCAGCTAACTTTCTAGGTGCAATAATGCTAGCTCGAAACTAGCATTAAAACGTTGGAACTGAAAACTATGGACAGATGTCATAATCATCGACGCATAAGCGCCGACGCATAATCGCCGCCGCATAATCACCGACGCATAAGCGCCGACGCATAAGCGCCCACGCATAATCGTCGACGCATAATCGCCGACCCATAATCGCCGACGCATAATCGCCTACGCATAATCGCCGACGCATATTCGCCGACGCATCGACCGCTTACAGATCGTCGGCAGCCGTGTACTAGGGGAGCTAGGCTAGCAGGCTACATGCATCAGCTGCGTGGATCAAGCACTCATTCGCTTCCGCACTTCTCTCCCCCTCCTCTCGCACCACGGCGCATGCGCACTCTCTCACGTCTCTTCCTCCGCTGACAATACGTTCATGCGACGGACAGCGAAACTGCATCGCCTTAATTGGCAGTTTAACTCTCGTTTTGCCCGGGCACTGCGCGGCTACCGTATTTGCATATCACACAGCAGGCTGCTTTCCTTTGTTGTCTTCCCCCAGCCTGGAATATACAGAGAATCAGGATTTGGTAACGCAAAATATGTTCGCGGAGAGGTCATGGTTGCGGAAGCACCGGACCTTTAATAACGATAATATTAATAAAAAACAATTTTTTTTTATTACTAATATTATTATCAGGAGTAGATAATAGAAGAAAGCATTCCTGTGAAAATTTCTATTATCTACTCCTGTTATTATTAAGATTCTTTACTTATTTATTGTTTTTATTTGTTTATTTCACAGGTGTTTACGTTCGACACGGAGTTACGCGGCGTCGGAGGTGAGTCGCTGTGGTTCTACAATGCCGACGGAAGTCTGCGACTGCAGTCGCCGACGTCCGTGTGTCCCGCAGACTGCACGGAAGCATGCCCGAAACAGTATCCGCCGCCGCCGCCGACGACGACGACGCTAGCGCCACCTATCACCTGTCCGCCTCCCGAGCGGATACTAGTGACGCTTCCGCCCCCGTTCACGACTCCATGCCCCACGGTGCGAGCGTGATTTTATTAATTTTGTTGTTAGATTGTTACATTTTTGTGTGCTATGTGCGCGCCGTTTGTATTATTGATAAGCGTGCAAAATCAATAGCCTCGTTCACACGAGACCTCGTATTTATGAAATACGGTATTTGCGAAATATACGCGAATCTGAGAAAATACGCGGCCGAGCGTTCACAACGCCTGATATCCGGGCTGCCTAGAAATACGGTATTTGGCGAGCCGGTATTGCGGATGCCGAAAAATAAACAAATGCAATGCGCACGACTGCTGCGCGATAGCGCGGGCACGCCGCTCGGCGCGAACTGCCGATAAAAATAACGTAGATCTGGTCCGCAGCTCAGACAAAGTTCCAGCTCGCGTTACAACTGGAACTGTCGAGCGCGACGGCAAGTTTATAAAATACGCGGCTTCGAAATACGGTATTTAGCGTTCAACACGAGGAATGCGGGTCCCTGGCAAGAGATCCGGTATTTCTCAAGCACGGCAAATTATTCGGGGTCTGGAAGCCGCGTATTTACATCCAATACCGGATCTGTTTAGATACTGTATTTCTTGGACAGCGCATTTTGCCTCGTGTGAACGCTAAATACCGGATTTCTTGCTACGTGTGAACGCGGCTAATATCGATAGTGAAAACTATCGAACGTCTGGATCTGTGCTGACTGCATGCGCGTCGTTAGCATGGACACTGACGCTGTTTCTTCCTACTTTACACTTCAGGAGCCGGTTTGTACGTGTCGGCCATGCGAATGCCCGCCCGTGGTGACGTGCGAGCCGTGCACGCCTGCGCCGACACCGACGACACCGCCGCCATGCCTCTGCCCGACGTGCCATCCACCGCTCGACTGCTCCTACTGTTCCACACCGCCGCCGGTGCGGTGCACGTGCCCGCCGCTCGACTGTGATCAGTGTAGGAGTCCCGACTACGGCTTGGTGACACCCGACAGGCACACCGCGACGCCGCCGCAGGCTACGACGCGGCCGCAGCAGGCAGTGCCCGCCGTCAGAACCGAGACACATTCTCAGACGTATGCTGCACCAGAATCCGAGGCGGAGGCTGAGCCAGAAGCCGAGACAGAGCCACACGCTGAGTCCGACACAGACACAGACACCGATGCAGAGAAAGGCACGCGGGCAGAGACCGGAAGCGGGGCTGAGATAGCTAGCGACCGCCAAGTGGCGTACGTGTACAGGCCTAGCTCCGATAAGGTTTTCCTCAACGGAGTGCTGCCAATACACGCGCGCGGAGACACGCGCTTCGCCTGCGGCCCGCTAGATGGCGCCACCTTCCCGCTGCTGGCAGCGGCGCTGTACGCGCTCGAGCGAGGCAACGGCGACGGAGAGCGTCTGCAGATGGGGGCGCTGTTCACAGACTCGTGCGGCAGCGCCGAGAGAGGGCGCCGCGACGCGTTCACCTTCCTCGCCGGAGAGGGAGTCTACGGCGACGCATACTCGCCGCGCGTCGCACCGACCTCCGTCGCCGCCTATCTGACCTTTGACCCCGTCGAGGCGGACGCCGTCGCCGATGTGGCGCGCCCAGCCGGCGTGCCCGTCGTGCTCGCGTCTGCGTCGGCGCCGGCAGCGACACCTGGCGTGCTGTACGCGCTGCCGGGCGTCGACGCGCAGATGGACGCCATCAGCGCCATATTGGAGATGTTCAGCTGGGACATGGTGTCGCTAGCGTACACGGGCTCCGACAGCGACGCCAGCGCCCTCCTGCGGGCGGCAAACGCGCGCGGCATATGCGTCGCCGAGACGCTCGACCTGGAGACGACCGACGCGAAGCAGGTCGTCGACGCGCTGCAGCAACGACAGACAGAGGGCGCCACCGTCGTCGTCGTGCTCGCGCGACCGCAGGAGACACGTGACCTGCTCGCGGCGGCGCAGGACGCGAGCAGCGACTTCGTCTGGATTGCCGACGACCGCTGGGGCGACAGCGCTCGCGTCGTCGACGGATTGCACATCGGCAAGGGGGCGCTGACGCTCCGGGCGGAGACTGCCGACGTACCGGGCCTGCGCAGCTACGTGGAGAGCCTCACGCCGACGTCGCACGGCGACATCCCCGACGCGTGGTTCGACGAGTTCTGGCAGCGTCACTTCCGCTGTCGGCTGCCGCGCGCGACGCCGACGCTGACGCAGTACGCCGACGAGTGCGACGACGCGCTGCGTCTCGACGCGACCGACGTTCTGTCGGGAAGCTACGCGACGCAGGTGGCGCTGGCGGTCAACGCTACGATGCGGGGATTCCGTGCGTACGTGCAGCGCTTCTGCCCCGACCTTCACCTGCTCGGCATCGACACGTGCCTGATGACGTATGCACCTCGCGACGCGCTCGCGCACTACATCCAGCAGGCGAAGGTTGGCGACGGCGACGACTTCCGGTTGACCGACGACGGCTCCAGCAGCGTCGTCTACGGCGTCTACAACTACCGGCGACAGAAGGGCGGCGAGTTCAAGTATGAGAAGGTAGGTGGCGCGAGCGTCGATTCGCGTGTGTCGATGCCGGTTAGATAGAATAGAATGAATAAATCTATGAATGCATGAATACATGAATCTACGAACGTACACGCATTCAAACGAATAGACAAGCAAACAAACAATCAAACAAACAAAAAGATAAGCAAACGGTTAATTAGATATATTATATAGATAAATAAATAAATAAAGCACGCTCGTACGTTCTGTGTATATGTATGTGTATGTACGTGCATGCTTGTATATGTGTGCCTGTGTGCGCGTGCATGTGTGCGTGTATGTGGGCTGCCTGTGCGCGTATGTGCGTATAAGTGGGCTGCCTGCGCGTGTATGTGTGTGTGTATGTGTGCGTGCGTGCGTGCGCGTGTATATGTGTGTGTATGTGTGTGTGCGTTCGTGCGTGTATATGTGCGTGCGTGCGTGCGTGTAAGTGTGTGTAAAGCCCGGCGCACACGTGAGTTATTTTACTCAAATAAAATGACGCATGAGTCATTTTACTCACGTGTGCGGCGGATTTTCGTTGAGTAATTGACGCATGCGTCATTTTACTCACGTGTGCGGCGGATTTTCGTTGAGTAATTTGACTCATGCGTCATTTTACTTGAGTAAAATAACTCACGTGTGCGCCGGGCTTTTCTCAGCCGATCTCATCCCTCTCTCGCTCTCTCTTTCACGCATACAGGTGGGCGACTACCGCGACGACAAGCTGCATCTGAAGCCGACCGACGTCGACATCTATTACACGACGGACTACAGAAACGTGCCGACGTCGACATGCAACAAGATCACGTGCCGACCGTGTCGCGAGCAGCTGCACGCAGCGCCACTCACCGCCGACGACGTCCGCGCCGACCCGGTCGTCGGCTCGCATCCTGCGTCGGCGGCCGCCGTCGGATCCGGCGCGCGCGACCGCTTCCGCTTTGACACGGGCTGGGGCATCGTCGTGACGGTGCTGTCCTGCGTCGGCGTCATGCTCTGCGTCATGATGCTGCTCTACTTCTGCTGCCTGAGCGCCGTCGTGCGCGGCTCGAGTCTCGTCGGCTACCTGCTGCTTCTCGCGCTGGCGCTCCTCTTCGCCCTCAACCTCGCCTTCGTGGCGACGCCGACGCGCGCCACCTGCGGCATCCGCCGCTTCTTCCTCGGCGTCCTATACGCCGCCATCTTTGCGTCGATGCTCGTCAAAGCGCTCAACATCTGGCGGCGCCACCAGGGCGGCGCTGCCGACAAGGCGGTTGGCGACACGTGCTTCTCGCGACCGGGAGGTCTGCTCGCCATCGCGCTGTCGCTCGTGCTCGTGCAGGTGCTCGTCGCCAGCGAGTGGCTCCTCCTGGCGGCGCCGGACGTCGCCTACGACGGCGTCGGCGTCGCCGGCTGCGCGCCGTACGACGCCTTCATGACGCACCTCGTCTTCTCGTGCGTCTACGTCATGCTGCTGCTACTGCTAACCGCCGTCTTCTCCTTACTCAGCTGGAACAGTTCCGAGAACAGCCGCGAGTCGCGCTGGGTGTCGCTCGCCTGCGTCGTCTCCGTCGTCACGTGGGTCGCGTGGACGCTCGTCGCCACGTCGGTGCCGCACGCGTGGCGCGACCTGGCGGTGTGCGTCGGCAACCTCATCAACGGCTACGCCGTGCTCATGTGCGTCTTCCTGCGCAAGGTCTGGGTGCTGCATCGGCTGCGGCGGCAGGAGAAGCAGGCCGCGAGCGGCGGAGCGCAGACCGTCTCCGATATCTACTACAACCAACCGCTGGCGCTCAGCTACCCCGACCTCAGCGCGTCGAAGAGCCAACTCGGATACGAGGGCGGCAGCCAGTTCCAGCCGATCTACGAGACAGCGGGCATGGCGCCGCCGCTGCCGCTGCCTTTCGCGCAGCCGCCCATTGCCGTAGACTACGACGGCGGGAGTCAGTTCAGCCCTGGCTATCCGATGACAGGCTCGCAGGGCCCCGGCTACCTCTACCTGGATAGGGACGCGCCAGGTAGGAACCCGGGTTCCGATCCGGAATTCCGTCCGGGGAGATTTCCGTCTCGAACTACACTCGAATTTTTAATCCATTTGTAATATTTAATACATGATACATATTACATAATACATATACACATACATTACATATACATTACATATACACATACATTACATATACATTACATATACATATTACATGATACATATATACATTGTATGATACATGATACATATTACATAATACATAACAAATAATGCTTAATACATAATACATGATACATGATACACGATACATAATACACAATACATAATGCACAATACATAGTTATACATAATACGTAATATATAATATATAATACTTAACACGTATGCCACTAGCAGGTAACATATTACGAATAATACATAATACTCAATTTATATAACATAATACATGACAAATGACACGTAACACATGTAAATAATAGGATCCGTCATGTCAATGTTCATTAGGTCCGTCACACGTGACGTCACAGTAAACCCCGACGTACGCAGACGACGGTGGCGAGTAGATATCAGGCTGCTGACGTCAATCCAACCCGTGTGCGAGCAGACGACGTCGGGTTACGTGGGGTTTCCCAACACGCGCAAAACCTTCTAGAATATGCGAGGGATTAACCGTGTGGTGCCTGTGTTGCAGATGCCGATGTTGCCGTATGATGGAGAACGACGACAGCGCCATCTGATGCTCGCGCATGAAAACAAAGATCAAAAACCAAGTGGAGAAGTAGCAAATGTGCGCGCGTGTGCCCGCGTGCGTGTCCGCGTACGCGCTTCAAAAAAAGGCTTACCGTAGCGCATGTATGTCGAGTTCATACATGGATGCATGATGCAGCTGCGTTTAGGCAATAATCGGTTGATACAGTGTGTTTTTACTGTATGTTTACACTGTGTGTTTACAGCGTGTGTTTACAACGTTTGTTTTCACTGTATGTTTACACTGTGTGTTTACTGCGTGTGTTTACAGCGTGTGTTTAAAACGTTTGCTTTCACTGTATGTTTACACTGTATGTTTACTGCGTGTATTTACAGCGTGTGTTTACAACGTGTGTATACAACGTGT